AAATGTGCCTGGATATTATCTAAAAAGCAGATTTCGCTAAGTATGAGATGTCCTTATGTCTGTAAGTGAATATTTGCTGAAAAAAGTCCCCAGAGCCCAGCACCATGGTCATTTCCAGAACCTTTTTTGGCAAGTGAATGCTTTTCTAAGTAATGGGTACTAAGTGATATTTATTCATCATTATTTTCCAAGTCCTACTTATCAGCCCCTTCAGCAGTGTCACTCCAAAAAAAATGAATAGGAATAAAAATGATTAAGTTAGTTTTTCAGAATTTAATATAAAAATTCCTATCACTGACGCATGGATTTCGAAATGTTTCAAAATAAGAATTAGATTTTAATATCTACGATGTCCAAAAATTAATAATACATCTTGAAGAACCATGATTTTTCAAAGGAAAAAAAGGGGAATTTGCTCTGTATAACACCTTCTATACGTTTGAAGATCAGAAATGCTATGATTCCTAACTTCTATGTATGGATAGTGAAACTAGTTTACCTAAGATCAGAGAGAAATGTCTTTGTATTTGTGCACATAGGGAAAATAACACTGCCCACTGGCCACGTGCTACCATAATTTCCAACTTTTTTGTAGTTCTAATTGTCGACACTGGTCTAACTGTAAGTCAGGTCTATCAGTCCCCAAACTTCTGGAATTATCTCAGACACGCAAGTGTAGGTGCTCTGTTCCTGCTGTCTTCTCCTTCATGTCTGTGAAAGCAAGTTGTTTCTCCAGTAACTCACACTCTAGACTGGCAAGAGGACTTCCTCAATCCTGTTGTCTGTGTGGTTCCCTTCCTGTGACAGTGGAGGGTCAAGGTGAAAGTGGCAACCACATGCCTTGCTGCTCTTTTTAAAATAATACATAGATGCTGGTTTTAAATTTGGATGGTATATTTCTTTTTTTTTAATTGAGACAAGGTTCTTTTTATATGTATATATATATATTTATTTATTTGTTTGTTTGTTTTTTGAGTTGGAGTTTCACTCTGTCACCCAGACTGGAGTGCAGTGGCCGCTCCCGGCCACCGCAGCCTAGACCTGCTGGGCTCCAGTGATCCTTCCACCTCAGCCTTCCAAGTAACTGGAACTACAGGCGCGTGCTACCATGCCCGGTTAATAATTTTTTGATTTATTGTGCAGATGAGGTCTCGCCTGCCCAGGCGGGTCTCGAACCTGCGGGCTCAGGCAATCCACTCACCTCAGCCTCCCACAGGCAAGGGATTACAGGCTGAGCCACCGAGCCCGGCTCCAAAAGTTTTTAATGGAGCTAGCCATATTGATACTAAAGTTCGTACTGAAGAACAAACATCTGGTAATAACCACGAAAATCTGACAGACAAAAGCAATGATGACGTACAGGTATGAAAACATACTGTGAAGCCTCTATGATTAAAACCTGGGGTATGAACAGCAAGTAGACAAGTAAAATATCTAGAAATTGACCTAAGAATATATGGAAATTTGGTTCATAGATGTGGGGCAGATATGCAGTTTATAACGAAAGGTGCCAAGACAACTGGTTATCTATCTGGGAAATTATGAAATTAAATCTATAATAGACTCCAAATGGATCAGGACTCTAAATATGGGGGGGAGATCCAGATGTGTTCAAGCAATTTCTTGGCTGATAGAGAAAGATGTGGCTACGAAGTGGCAGTAGAACCCAGGCTTTATTTGGGCAGTGATTCCACAGGTTCACCAGCAGTGAGGTAGAAGTTCCACACACCATGGGAATATCCACAGGCTAGGAACTGGGGGGTCACTACTCAGAAGAGGTGAAGGGGAGGAGAATTCTCAGAAGGAAGGGGATCAGAGAGGTGCTGTGTGCTGGGTGATGCTGCCCAGCA